TGGTGAATTGTTTCAAGGCTAAATCAAGTGTTTAGGCTTCCTATTAACTCCTTTGAGGAGTTTACGGCCCTGGGACCATATCCCATGGAGATTACAGCCGTAATCTCCTTTGGGGGAAAGTTTATGGTGCTTTCAAGTCGCTATATTATCAAGGAATGGATCAAGGAAATTATCCAAGGCTTTAGGGGGATTATGGCACCATTTGGCACCTTTTAAAGGAGTTCACGACCCTAGAACCTTTTGGGCCGTGAACACCTTACTCTTGGTGTTCCAAGTGTGTTTGCTAGTCCTAAACTCATTTAGGTACATGCCTAAATTAGTATCTTGGCTTAAGGAGGGTTTTTAAGGCATTTTGGCACTTAAACATGGAGTTCACGGCCCAAGAACCTCCTTGGCCGTGAACTCTCATTTACCCTTGAATCTTAATTGTTTTGGTGTCCTAAACATGCAATGGTGGGTTCTAGTTCGAGTTCCATGGTGTTGAGGGACTTTGGGACACCTTAGGCACTTAAAATGGAGTTTACTCCCCAAGTGTTCTTGGGCGGTAAACTCCCAAATCTTGGGGTCTTGATCCGATTTTGATGTTTTCTAGTCATATACACACTAGCATATAAGCCTAAGGTAGTTACAAATCATGGGGAAAGGACTAGGTAGCATTTAAGCCACCTATAGGAGTTTACTCTCCAAGAACATTCTTGGGCGGTAAACTCCCGAATCTAGTTGTTTTGTTATTAAATTGATGTTTCTAAACACAATCTAAGCTATATAACATAACTAGATCGAAGTACTCACAATTTGGAATAAAAATCCGAAGATCCGTGAAAGAGAATTTTGACTTTTCTCTAAATGGAATGTAACTAATGAACCAATTTGGTTCAGAATTCTATTTATAGTCCTCAGATATCTTTGGCAAAAAATATTTTTATTCCTGAAACGAACTCTAATGTCCTAGAGTATTGGAATAACAGTGTTGCACAAACCCTTAGTGCATCAACTCTCCTAATATCGCCTTAAGTGTAAAATCTTGAAAACTGCCAAGCTTATACTTGAAGTCTGAGTTTTCACTGTAACTGTTCTACATATATTGGCTTCAAATGGTTTGTACATAATGGAAATTTCGGGTTGTCACAACCGGCATAATAGCTTAAATTGCCAGGTTTTGCGACTTGGTAGCTATGTGTCACACCCTGAAAACCGAAGGCGGAAACATTTCCGGGGTTGACTCCACGTTGAGTATCAAATCCAATGCACATAGTAAGTAAAGTAAAACAACCATTACATTACGTAAGAAATTTTTTACAGTTGTTTCAAAAGTAAAGTTTGTACAGTTGTGATACATAGCATATATATATATATATATATATATATATATATATATATATATATATATATATATATATATATATATATATATATATATATATATATATGAACAAAATGAAACGGGTCTTCTGAGTACACCGTCTTCAAGCAAAAAGGATCTTCAGGTACCTGTTCTAACGCTGACCTGAGAACACAAGCGGTTTGAAAATCAGCATAGCGCTAGTGAGTTCATAAGTGGTTTTTGTTTGTGAAATTGTTCAGGTTTCCTTTCTGTTTCTGAAATGTTACGCACACCAAGAAAATCTCATATTTTCTTAATAAAGGTTGGTTATCGTTTGTCAACAAGTAAAGTAAAGTTGTACATTGAAAAACATGTTTTCTCTTGCAAAGATGTATAATTAAGTTATCTGGATTGACATACTATTATGGTTATGTACCAATGTATTCCCAGCAAAGTCCCATACTTTCCTGATTTGTATGTTATCAATTGTAAAAGATGTAAAGTAAGGTTATCTGGTTTGTTCCCCTTTCTAGTTATGTAATGTTTTCCCCAGGAAAGTCCCGTACTTTCCTGAATGTTGGTTACCGTATGTAAATGATGTATTCTTGTTAGACCTGGTATGTACAAGGTTTCCCAGGAAAGTCGCATACTTTCTTGAATGTTAGTTACTATATGTAAAAGATGTTTTCCGAATACGTGGTTATGTTCAATGTTTCCCCAGGAAAGTCCCATACTTTCCTGAATGTTGGTTTCCAATGTGAAAGATGTATACTAGAGAACTGATTATCTTGTGAATTGTATAAGGTTGTTCATTATTACCATAAGTAAATCTCTGTTATCGTAATTGCGAGTTCCATAACCATACAATGGACTAAACCTGTGGCAATAAGTAGTCCACATACTTATGACTTTCGTCACCCTTGAACCATTTCGGTTTGGCTGTAGCTAGCAGCCAGGTGTGGGGTAGTCAGCCCTGTATAGATCTATACACTCAAGTCACACTCTCTAAATCCTAGAGATTCTGGTTACAGGTGTAGTCCTCCACTCGCGTATCTCTGTGGAGTGTTCGCCGAGGACGTGTCTCCAATCATGCAGGATTAACAAATTTACTAGTAATAATATGATAGTCCTCCACTCGCGTATATATGTGGAGTGTTACCAAGGACAAAGCAGTGTACAGGTATTATGTTCAAAGGTTCTAATGTCATGCTTTTAACTGATAAAATGTGGAATTCCATTTGTGAAATATATGTAAAACATAACAGTTTACAACCTATTTCGCAAATATATGTTATGTGATCTGTATGTTCAAACGGTTATCCGTTGTAATAATCAGTGTTAAAATCATATAAAATGTGAAATACACATATGAAAACATGTTTTTGAGTACAAGTAGTCCCTTGTACTTTGCTTGTGTTCCCCTCTGAAAACAGTGAAAACAGTGAAAAAGGGTAGGGGTATGAACTCACCGGACTCGGAATTGCAACGGTTTCAGACACTAGACGTTGGTTCGAGGCTTGATTACTCGCGATGTCCCTATGTAAAATGTAATAAAGTCCATATATATTTAATTAGATTTACAATTACTAATTATATGGAACATGACACTCCAACGAGGTTAAACACCTCAAAATGAGCGTTTGGAGTGACCCGGGTGACATCTTCGAACGTGCAATGGCACTAGGGACTTGGGACTTGTGTTTACTCCCCAAGAGTAAACATTTAAGTGAGTTTACAGCCATAAAACACACACATACATAAGTTTACGGCCATAAACTCATGTTGGTGTGGTTTTGAGTGTTAAAATGGCTTAAATAGACAAGGGGATGTTGGAATGTACTTCTAAAATGCCTTGGATTAATTTGCTTTGGATTTATACCATTTAAAAGGGAGTTCACGGCTGTAAACTTGGAGTTTATGGCCGCAAACTCTCCTATAGTCAAGGATAATTGATTTGAATAGCTTAAAGCAATCACATGTGATTCTAGTAATTTTTCCAAGCCTTGGGGTGGTTTAAGGGCATCATTTAACACACTTTTATGAGTTTATGGCCTAAGAGTATGTGCTATGGCCATAAACTCCTAAATGTGGTGTTTTAATATGTTTAAGGCCTCCAAACTATTTTTAGGTGGTTCTATGATTTATTCCAAGGCTATTGGTTAAGTTTCAAGGCATTCAAACATGATTTAAGGTGTTTAATCCCCATTTTTGAGGAGTTTACGGCCCAAGAAGGAGCCTTGGCCGTAAACTCTCTTTTGTCCCACAAAATTCATGTTTTAAATGTTTCAAGTCCCAATTTGCAAGCCTTAAGGTCGTATCTAAGTTCCAACAATGATTTGGAAGGGTTAAATGGCTCAAAAACCCCTTTATTGTGTGTTTACGGCCCAAGCTTATTCCTTGGCCTTAAACACATGTTCCAGGTCCTAAATCTCATTTTGAACTTGGATTTGAAGGCCTAAGAGGTTGAATAACAAGCTAGGAAAGTTACCTCTATGATGTGGAGCCTTAATTCTTTGATTTTGGACCTTAATTTAGAGTGAGGAGAGAGGTTAGAGAGAGAGAGTAGTGAGATGAAGCCAAAAGCTTCAAATGAAGGCTTAGAACACATTATATAGTGTCTAAGTTTTGGACACGGTGGAATTCTACCCGATACCGACATTAGGCGAGGCTTTTGGTCGTACCCGATTAGGTTGCCGTAACCTGATATGGTAAATTCTAGAAATATTCCGATCACTAATATGGGGTGTTAAAATGTTTTCTAGATGTATTAAGACACCCATTAAGTCATTTAAGAAAGGTACAAGTTAATGACTTAATTAAACAGGAAAATCGGAATCGAATTTGGAAACGACGATTGGTTGCGTGAATTGAACTATGAAAGAGTTACAAGAGATGGTACGAAAATTTCGGGTTGTTACATTATCCCCCCGTTAGAGGGAATTTCGTCCCGAAATTCAAAGTCAAAACACGAGACAAGATACAAATCATGGATCTGGAAAGAGTTGTGGATACTTCTGTTTCATTGAGTCTTCCCGCTCCACTACTAGAAAAACAGCCTTTTACGACGCTCATTGCGCGTCGTAAAAGGCTCAGACGACGCGCAAATGCGCGTCAAGGAAGGCCCTGTCATAAAGAGAGACAACGCTTTTTTGCGCGTCGTCTATAGACGACGCGCATTTACGACGCTCATTTACGACGCGCATTTACGACGCTCATTTACGACACGCAATGCGTATCAAGGAAGGCCCTGTCATAAAAGAAGACGACACGCATTCGCGTGTCGTAACCTTACGACGCGCGTGTTAATGACACGCAATACGTATCAAGAAAGCCCTGTCAAGAAAGGCCATGTCATAAATGAAGATGACACACATTTTTGCGTATCGTAAATTTAAATGTTTAAAAAAAATAAATTTATATATTTATTAATTTTTAAATTAAATTTGCATTTAATTTCTCATAACAGAAATAAAATACCATATACAAAAAATACAATCCATTGCATAATATAAAATAAAATTTCATACTCAAAAAATAAAATAAATTGCTCAAATTATAATGTCATACAAAGAATCATTCAAATGTTAAACAAAAATAATACATTGCTAACATGGGTTATACATTCCTATAGAACTAACAAATAATCATACAACTCTGTTTCTTACTAGAAAGGAAAGCCAAACATTATTACAAGTCTCCCTTAATCTTTGATTACTCACCTGCTTAAGTAGAATGTTGTTGTTGAGAAGGTTACCTAGCAACAGAGAAAAAAACAACACCTCTCCCACAATCACAACATCATTTACAAAAAAGGGGTTGTCAATTACTTTCATTAAGACTTTCATTCAATCACAAAAATATTAAATAAAAGGGTGAAAAAAATAACTTACTTTTGATAAGTTGATCTCCCTTAGTGCAAACACAGCTAAAGCATTGAACAAGACCCTAGGGTCTTCTTCTAATGTAAACACAATGCTCGTCTACAAAATTGAGTTGATAAAATAAAATTTGAATATCGTTTGGGTAGTTTATATATGATTTGATCATTTAATTTAAAATACAATAAAATAAATTATCTTTTTTGTTACCTTATAGGGCTTGTCAATTCCTGGGATTATAGGTTCTCTTGCTAGTATTAAAAACGAGTTATGTTATCTAAATCATCCTGAACATTCAATATAACAATTGTAAGATAGAAGGAGAAATGTATATTTGAAAATACTATGAGATGTGACTTTTTTAATGTTATCAATCCATAAATTAAGCACAACAAATAGTTACCTGTCTTTTTTAAAAACTTTTATGGGGGTATAATGACCGAAATGCCCTTGTATTTATATACATGTTTACAAATATAACTTTAATAACTAGGTGACACCTGGATTGTTTGTGCTAGAATATCAAGCCCAATTTCAGCAGCCCGAGAACTTGCAACTGCTCCAGTGTCTCGTATGGATTCCGAGGCTACAATCTATTAAAAAAATGTCTTAACAAATTTTTCACAAAGAAAAAAATACAATATTAAAAGTTTAAATGCAAGAATTAGCAAATAGTTTCATTTACCTATCCATAGTTTCAGTTTATAGTAATCAAAATAAAATAATAAAGAAAAAAGTTGAGAAGAACATACAGCTTCTACCATCAAACAATGAGTCAGCACTAGCTTCAATTACTTGATATGTTCCAGCAATAATGTCCATAATAAGTGTAGCCATTTGAGACATGAGGACCGTAGGGTAAACTCCTAATTCCATCAGTTCTTTGGCTCTTTTCACAGTTTCAGCTGTGTTTGATGACATTGTTAACTCCAGAAGTTCCAATAAATTCTCATAAAAAGACAACTCCTATCTACAATCAACTCCATAAGAATCAGTAAAAAGTTTGAATAAAAAGTTACAAGGATCAAGAAACCAGTAGATTAGATACTTACAAGTTGATTTCCAGCCTCCGAAGCGTCTTCATCTTTTTCATTACTTTGATTTACATCAAAACCATGTACATTTTCAGGCTAGCACTGCTTGTCACTCAGCTTCTCAAGCTACAAAAACAAAAATTAAATGTATTTGTTACATATTTAATAAAAAAAAACTAGAGACATATAAAATATACAAAAAATGGCATACATGTGTGCTTTGCACTTGCTAAAGATCTGTCAGGGCCTTTTGTCTAGATTGTAGAACAGAAAACAATAATTATCACTTTAGTCAAAATGAGAGCTGAAGTAAAAATGTGTACTAAAGTAAAAAAAAACTTTGAATTTCCTCCCAAAGAATCCTGAATTTAAGCAATCTACTATATTAGTATTACATGCCAAAGTTTTTTTATAGGAAAAAAAGATGTTGGAATGACAATCAAGGATAAATATATCTTCAGTCATCAAATCATCCTGGCTGAAGTTGTATATCTCAGTGACCTGCATTAATGATATAATTAATTTATTAAATTTTGGCTTCAATGGGTAATAAAAGAAATTCATATAAAAGAGAAAGTTGACCTTGAGATCTCCTGAACCAGCAAAGTTTCAGAAAAAAAAAAAAAGAAAAAAAAATTAGTATTTGTGTTGGGCTGTTGGCAAGTAACCAAAAGAATTGAATCCAACATAAAATTTGGTGTTTGTTTAAACCTTTTGAAAATGTGCATGTGAACAAATGGGGATCACTGTCAACATCTCTAGCAATTTTCTGACTTGGGTATTTAGATTTTCCATCTAAAATTTCCCAAAATTGTTTGGACTCTAAACCCTCGTTTTGTAATTTGGACTGCATATTTGGCTGCAAGTATTGCGCATAAAAGTAAATCATAAAAGTAATAAGAAGTTGACTTTTTTCTAAAATGGGTTTCTTGGGTTTGATTTAAAGATGCGAGTTTTGGGAAAGAGATGAATTGAAATGGGTTAGTTGACTAGGTCGTTCGATGTGGCATTGGAAGTTATGTTGTGGGTTTGTTGAAGGATGATGACTACAATGGAAAAGTGTATATAGATTATTTTTCATGTTACCTGCTCAATGTTGATAGTGAATGGACGCTTTGATTGGCATTTTGGGCAAGAACCAACTTTCACTTTTGAATAAGAATTTTGGATAAAAGGCCCTAAAACTGTTCCACATTTGTTACAATCATACTTCACTTGCTGTAATTGAGAAAAAACTCCAGATCTTTGGGTCACATCTCCTCTTATACGGATCATTTTGTTTAAATGGATTTGCCTGTGAGAAACATTTAAGATTGTTACCAAATGGGTATATTTCAGTTAACTTATAGTAGAGAAGGAAATAAACATCATAAATGTTGTAAGATGTTACAACTTTTGTCACTTCATTCATTGGCAAGTAGATAATTGTCTTGAATGGAGCTAAAGAACAAAGCTTACATAAGAAAACTAGAACATGTTCATTTCTTGCAGTGTTCCTTTTAATTATAAAGCAAATACTATTGAATACCTTAAGGTTAAAAGACAACAAGGAAATATTGTAAAGAGCATTAATGGTTAGATATATAGCAAGATCTGGAGTAAGTATCAATCCACCTTTTCATTTACATTTGTAGGTAAGATCAATTGTTATATTCTTATGAAAGAAATTCAATAAATTACCAACACAAATCTCATGTTCTTAACTACAGAGTATGGTAAAATCATTTGAGGTTACTGAATTACCAGGTTTGTTATTATAGTCTGTTATTGTACCCTTTTATTTAACTGGAATTTAAATTTTAGATCTGATGCATACACAACATATTTGCATTCAGATCAGCAAAGTTCATAGCACGCAAGCAATGGGTTGTTGCTGGTGCAGAAAAATTAGGAAATAATGAAAACATCATTTCAGCATCACTTCTAAGTAGAAGGGTAAAATGGTAAAATGTCTAAGATCAGCAAATAATGCTTCTGAACCTGATTATAAGAATAATAATAAATAGTGCTTATGAACCTCTATTCAGCATCACTTCTAAGTATAAGGGTAAAATAGGCATTTACTCAATAAATAACCAGTCTATATGTTCATTCATCACTTTCTAGAGACAGATATCATTTATCCATCTAGAAATTTAACATAAAAAAGAAAAAAAATAAAATAAAAGGAACACAATCACTAAGTCTAGCAGAAACCTAGGTCCCAGTTGATGCTTTTGAAGCCCAGACTCAACAGTCCTATTGAAAACAAGAATCACTGCATTTTGTGCAGGTGAGTTATGTGACTCTACAATCTTCTTACAATAATAATAAAAAAAGAAACAAATTAAAAGGATAAATTGTATAAATAATAAAATAAGATATTTTAAGTATGAAACTAACTAGCAAACCTCCATTGCAGTAAAAGTGATCCATCTTTCATCAAAATCAGAAACAGGACCTCCATTTGCTATATGAGCGCCTGAGTTGGCAGTTGAGATTTCTCGAAAGAAGATGCTGAAGCAAACAGAAGAAAGATGGGTGAGTGAATAAATACATAAAGTGTATTAAAAGAAATTAAAAATGTTGACCTGGATTTACAAGTGTAATTACTAAATTAATTATAGGATTATGAGCAACAACTGCAAGAGCTAAAGATCCACTAAAGGAATCTACAACTAGATAAATTAGCTTCTTTGTAAGCATGTTCAAGCCTCACATTTTCTTCAACAAATTGAATCAAATCTTCATATGACAAAAAATAGTGAATAAAACAGATTCTAGTAATGCGTGAGTATATAAAAGCATATTAAAAATAGTTTCCAAATAGGTGTAACAGCAGAACAGGGGAACTTGCTTTTTGGTAACACCAATGGTTCCTAAGTGACTGTATCCTTCCTCACAATCAAGAATATATCATAAGAAGGAAAGACACAAGTTGAAAGAGGATTGGACAGTGGTCCTTTTGTGTTTGTTTATTGATGTTTGAGGATGATGAGATGAGCAATTTCTCATAGAGCAACAATCTCTACAACCTTTTGGTGACTAGTTAGTTGAACTTGCTCTATATGAGTTGTTGCAGGAGGAACCTGATTCACTGAACCAGACATGGATCCATATCAATACCACGTCCAACAATCAGTTTTGAAGTTTTAAAGACATTTCTTTAACCCTAAATTCAACAAATTTAGCATCTTTTGAAACTGGAGCACACATAGCTTTTTGATGAAACCCAATCATAGTGCCAATTCTCTTGCTCACATTACCCCTATTTTTAAAAAAAAATCAATAAAAGAATATAGTCTTTTCATTTTCGAACTCAGATAAACTAAAAAAAGAAACAAATATTACCATGTTTTGCATTTTTGAAACCAACATAGTGGCTTCGTCATTGGAGGAATCAAAGTACACAGATACACCTTGTATGAAAATACCCTAATTTGTCGATGTTTGAGATTCGATACCTTGAACCAAGAAAGCCCTAAATCTGTATGAGATAGGAGCGATGACACCTGGATCGATTTTGTTGAGAAGCATCGAGCATAACACTGAATCTTTTGGGAGTTGCAGTCGCATGCCAGGAGAGGTGAATGTGATTTTGCAATGGTCTGTTAGAGATAGACAGAAAGGAGGGACATGGATGGCGGAAAAGGGTGGCCTGGTGGTTCTAGGGTTTTTATACAAATGGTGGTGTTAGTAACCAACAATGGTGGTGCTAAAGAGGGGTGGTGATCTTGTGATATGTTGTGTCGGTGGTATAATGGAGCTTTATTGGAGGCGGTGGTGAGCCAGAGAGAAGATGAAGGGTGGTGGGTGGTTGTCGAGCAATAGGTGGTATAAAAAGCGAGTAAAAATAAAATAAAACCCTAAGATAGAAGGCAGATGGTGATGGCCCGCCAAAGGGAAAATGCACAGGTCTTCCTTTAAAAGAGACAAGGTTTTTCATTAATTTTAGGATTGCAGAGAGAATAGAGGGAGAGAATAGAAGGAGATCAAGAGGATAGAGTGTTTGTAATTTTTTTAGGGTTCGCAGAGAGAATAGAGGGAGAGAATGGAAGAAGCGGGCACTTCAAAATTTTAGAATTTTAGAGATTTCATTTTCCCCACTTAAAAACGCGCGTCTAACTAAAAAATTATAAAGCAACATTTCTAGATGACACACACATTTAACATAAGTGCCCTCCATGTTTGTAATTTTTTTTGTTGGACATTAATTCTAGGGCACTTACAAATGCGTGTCTTCTATCCTTCAAATATTGCAAAACTAACACTATTTTTTAGGGCACGCACAAATGCGCATCCTCTATCAGCGCGTGTCATTGCTTGCGCGTCATTAAAGGGTTGTTTTCTAGTAGTGCTCCTAAGTGAATTCTGCTCCCCGCTTGGCATTCCAGCGAACCTTCATTAACGGGATGCGACTTTGCTTAGTACGTTTGACTTCTCGATCCATGATTTCGATTAGTTCCTCCACAAAGTTGAGGTTTTCATTGATCTCGATCTCGTCTATGGGAATTGTTAGGGTTTCATCAGATAGGCACTTTTTGAGATTTGAAACATGGAAGACAGGATGAATGTTACTGAGTTCGTGAGGTAGACGAAGTTTATAGGCAACCGGACCGATCCTGGAGAGGATCTCAAAGGGTCCAATGTACCTCGGATTAAGTTTCCCACGCTTACCAAAGCGTATAGTGCCTTTCCAGGGTGAGACCTTCAACAGGACACGGTCTCCAACCTGGAATTCTAGTGGTTTCCGACGATTATCAGCGTAACTCTTTTGACGATCTCGTGAAGCTTTCAATCGATTATGGATTTGAATGATCTTTTCGGTGGTTTCGCGGATGATTTCAGGACCAGTGAGAGCACTGTCGGGGACTCGACTCCTGGCTAACTTTGTATCCTCAACCTCGGCCCAACACAGAGGGGATCTGCACTTACGACTGTATAGGGCTTCAAACGGAGCAGCCCTAATGCTGGTGTGGTAACTGTTGTTGTAAGAGAATTCGATCAAGGATAGATGTGTGTCCCACGACTTTCCAAAGTCAATGACACATGCCCTAAGCATGTCCTCCAGGGTTTGGATTGTTCTCTCACTCTGTCCATCGGTCTGAGGATGATACACTGTGCTCATATCTAGTTTGGTTCCAAGGGCTTTCTGAAGGGACTGCCAGAATCTGGAGGTAAACCTGCTATCTCAATCAAAGATAATAGATACAGGTACACCATGCATTTTAACTACCTCTTGGATGTAGGTTCGTGCGAGTCTTTCCATCTTGTACGATTCTTTGATCAAAATGAAGTGAGCGGATTTTGTCAAACGATCGACAATTACCCAAATGGTATCGTACCCACTAGAACACTTGGGCAGTTTGGTGATGAAATCCATGGTAATCATCTCCCATTTCCATTTGGGGATCTCGGGCTATTGGAGCAGACCCGAGGGTTTCTGGTGTTCAACTTTGACTTTGGCACAAATCAGACACTTTCCCACGAATGTAGCTATCTCAGCTTTCATGTTTGGCCACCAGTATTGCTTCTTGAGGTCCAGGTACATCTTGTCCGAACCTGGGTGAATGGAGTATTTGGTTTTATGTGCCTCCTCCATGACAATCTTCCTGAATCCTCCGGACTTTGGAATCCAGATCCGATCCATGAAAGAATAGACTCCGACATCTCTGATCTCAAGTTTCTTTTCCATTCCTCTCAAGGTTTCGATCAACACGTTCTCAGGTTTGAGTGCTTCTAACTGGGCTCCTCGGATTTACATGGGTTAGTTGGAATGGATAGTCATCGTCTGGTTCTTCACTTTGTGGCCTGCACTTTCCTTTCGGCTAAAGGCATCTGCTACCACATTGGCCTTGCGGGGGTGGTAACGGATTTCACACTCATAATCACTGAGTAGTTCTACCCATCGCCGTTGCCGCATGTTCAAGTCTTTCTGATCAAGGATGTGCTGCAGGCTCTTGTGATCAGTGAAGATCGTGCACTTGGTTCCGTAGAGATAATGTCTCCAAATCTTCAATGCAAAGACTACGGCTCTTAGTTCCAAGTCATGTGTGGTATAGTTGACCTCGTGTGCTTTCAGCTGTCTTGAGGCATAAGCAATCACTTTTCCTCTTTGCATAAGCACACAGCCTAAGCCTTGATTAGACGCATCACAGTAGACAACGAAGTCCTCTGTCCCTTCGGGCAGGGACAGAACAGGCGTGCTGCATAAGGCTGTCTCCAACGTTTGGAATGCAGTTTCTTGTTTATCACTCCAACAAAAGGGTACACCTTTCTGTGTTAGAGTGGTTAAAGGTTTGGTGATTTTGGAAAAATTCTGAATGAATTTCCGATAGTAGCTGGCGAGACCCAAGAATTGACGAATTTCTGTAGGTATCTTCGGTGCCAACCAATTCTCTATCGCTTTAATCTTGGAAGTATCCACGTGAATTCCCTCCTCGCTTACCACGTGACCGAGGAAAGTTACCTTCCGTATCCAGAATTCACACTTGGAGAATTTCGCGTATAGCTTTTCGGATCTATGGGTCTCCAACACTAACCTCAAGTGTTTCTTGTGGTCTTCTTCGCTTCGGGAGTAGACGAGGATGTCGTCATTGAACACGATGACGAACTTGTCTAAGAAGGGACGGCACACCCGGTTCATCAGATCCATGAACACAGCCGGTGCATTGGTTAGACCGAAGGGCATCACTACAAACTCGTAGCGTCCATACCGAGTCCTGAAAGTCAGGGAGCCAGCTATTTCTCAAAGATAGACCTACGGTCAGGGTACCATCAGTTACGAGTTCAGGAGAATGATGTTGATCGAACAGGTCATCTATTCGCGGAAGAGGATATCGGTTCTTAACGGTCAACTTGTTCAGCTCACGGTAGTCGATACACATCCGAAAGGATCCATCTTTCTTCTTGACAAACAGTGCCGGAGCTCCCCAGGGTGAGGAACTCGGTCTAATGAATCCTTTACTGAGCAACTCATTCAGTTAGCTGGATAACTCCTACATTTCTGCTGGAGCTAAGCGATACAGAGACTTTGCTACGGGGGTAGCTCCAGGAATTAGGTCAATACGGAACTCGACCTGACGCTCGGAAGGAATTCCTGGAAGTTCTTCGGGAAACACATCTGGAAAGTTACAGACTTCAGGGATGCTCGCGAGGTCCTTAACTTCTTGTTTCTCGTTGATTACATGGGCTAAGAATGCAATGCACTCCTTTTGTAGGAGCTTTCGAGCTTTGATGCAGGAAATGATACGAAGATTGGAACTGGGTTTATCGCCATAGATTACGAGAGTCTATCCCGAAGGAAGATTGAGATGGATGGCTTTTTCATAACAAAGGATATCAGCATGATTGGGACTCAACCAATCCATGCCAATGATAACATCAAAGCTCTTAATGGAAACTGGCATGAGATCTATAAGAAATGAGTGATCATTTAGGGTAAGCGTACAACCTATGAATACATCGTTAGCGCTTTCTTTCTCACCGTTAGCCATATCGATGGTAAACGTTTCAGTTAGTGGTTGAGGATTAGGTTTTAGCTTATGTTTGAATGCATGAATAACAAAACTCCTTTCAGCACCCGAATCGAAAAGAATACTAGCATATGAGTTGTCGAGAAGGAACGTAGCCGAAACAACAGTGGGATCGGCGACTGCTTCCTCCCGTCCCATGGTTAGAACCCTTTCGGTGTTATCAGCAGTTGACTTCTTGGGACAGTTCCTTTTAAAGTGCCCAACTTCTCCACAGTTGTAGCAGGCTTGACTAACACCTGCTCCAGATGATTGGTTGGCTGATTGGGTAGGAGTTTTGCAGAATCGAACTGTGTGCCCTTTCTTACCACAGTTGGTACAGGATACTTCTCGGCAGGGACCAGGATCGTGATGGTATTTGCACTTGTCTCACAGAGGAAGATTACCAGCATATCTACTGGTAGGAGTTGGAGCTGTGGATCCCACAACAAAAGCAGTAGCAACAGGGGTAGTAGCAGCATGGACTGCTACAGTCTGCTGTTTCTTGGAAGATCCTTGGGAAGATTGACCCTTCTTCTTCTTCCAGAATTTTCTCTTTTCACCACTCCTTTGAGTCGGCTCAGAAGTGGTAGTGATTTCCTCAACATTATCGCTATGATCAATCAGGGTTTGGGCTAAAGTCTTGGCACTATCATAGGTATCCGGACAGGCAGCCAAAACATGACTCTTTGTCGGTTGGGATAACCCCCAAATGAACCTTTCGATCTTTTTGTTTTCAGGAGTGACTAATCCCGGGCAGAGAAGTGCGAGATCATCGAATCGGGAAGTGTATGCAGCAATGTCGGAACCTTTCATCTTCAGGTTCCAGAGCTCGTGCTCTAGTTTCTGCATTTCACCACGGGGGTAGTACTCGACAATGAGGAGTTCTTTCATGGCTTCCCAGCCCATGGCATTGGCTACGGGTAGGGTCAGAGATTTGACTCGGCCATTCCACCAAGTCAAGGCTTTATCAACAAAGGTACAGGCTGTGAATTTAACTTTATCGGACTCCGCACAAGCACAAATTTCAAAGATGGATTCGATTTTCTCGAACCATCGGGACAA